ACTGCACATAAACCAAGCCCAAGTCCAGAAATGAGACAAGCGGGGACAGTCCAGGAGAGCATCACATAACAAGAAAGAAAATTTTATTCATCCACACTTCCAGGGAGGCAGGCTCATTTTAGTATGCTGTCATCTTGGGCTGAAAGGTTCAAAAGAAAACATACGTGTTATTACAGCCTCAGGCGATCCCAACAGACCATCTCAGCTCAACATCATCCAGTATCTAGTTACGGTGCAGCCCGACTACGCTCTGCTCAAAGCCTCGTCCTTGGTCTTCCTTGTGCCCGCATGTTCTCACTGGAACCTGCCAGAGCAGTCAGTGGGATGGGTGTGCCTGGTTCCGGTCCTGTGGGCCCCTCTCAGGTGGCACCACCAGGTCACATTCCCAGACAACTAACCTCTAAGGCCCAGGGACCTGAGCCTCACCAAAGGCAAGGTGTCATCAAGTCCCCACACCCACGCCTCTGCTCCACCGCCCCCCCCCCCGCCCCCACACACCCCCAGGACCCACTGGGCCGGTGCTGGATGAAGAGAGGGGGCTTCTCCCTCCGCAGTGGGGCCCCACGAAGCAGCACTGTGTGCCTAAAATCTCGCGGAGGGCAAATCTGTACGATGCAGTAATTCGAGTACCTTCTGCCAGCTCTCTCTCAATCCGTTTCCGTTCATCCTGCTTCTTCTTCTCCTCAGCGGCGAGCCTCCTTTCCTCTTCCGCCCGGGGTTTCAGGTAGCCTGTTTAAGGCAAACGGGAAGGTGGGGAGACACTTGAACTTTCTCACTGAAACGCTGCCTAGCGGGGCTTCAGTCTCTTCAGGTGCACTGGAAATGCCGACGCCCCGGCTTCCCACCCTTTACTTCGACGTAGAAGGCCTGCCGCTGCCGCTCCCGCTCCGCAGAGAGCCCAACCCAGAGGGCAGCTGCAGGGTCCCCGCTGCCACCCGGCTCGTACTTCGCCCAGTCCTTTAGGTCGCCAGAGGCCGCCCCGCGTCAGACCGCAGCACTCCTCCCACACCCACCTGGCACCACGTGCCAACTGGAACTCACCGCTTTTCTGTTCCCCGGGGGCTGCCCTGCATCAGGATGCACTTGGGGTCCTGACCGCCTGAGCCAGTCCCAAATCAACCCACACACCTGCCGCGTCCGCTCGGGTTTCTGGCGCCTCCCACTCTGCCCCCCTTCTCGCCCTTCGCTGGGGTTTAGCAGACGGCCCTGGGGAGCCCCAACAGGCTTTGAGAAGCCCCAGCGCCCCCTCTGCCGTCGGCCGAGACAGCGGCGCGGCCGCCCGAGGTCACTCACTGTAGCGCTTGGCTCCGTAGGCCACGCCGAGGAACAGGGCGGAGTAGCGGCCGAGCTGCGGGGAAAGGGCCGTCAGAGGCGGGGTCAGGGTCCAGTGGGGGTCTCAGCCCGCGGCGGGGTCGGAAGCGCAGGGCGGGGATCGGGGGAGCGCGGGGAGGGGGGAGGGGGGAGGGCAGGTCGCACCCGCGGGGGCGCGGGTCCAGGGTTCCCTGAGGTCGCGCACGCGGCGACGGCCGCAAAGCCTAGTCACCTTGATGAGCGGAGAGACCTGCACCGGCGGCACCATCTTGACGGTAACCTTCACGCCGGAAGCACAATCAGAGGAGGACGCCGCAAGGGCTCGGAGAGCCGCGGAGACGTAAAAGCGTACCAGGGCGAGCGCATGCGCCGTTGGCGACGAGCAAGGGCACCGCTGCGCCCCCCGGTGGGCGGAGGTGGAACGGCGTGCGCCCGCTCGGGGCGGGGAAGTCACCGGGCGCGCTGTTCGCGACCAGCTGCGCGTGCGCGACTGCCGAGCAAGCCGGTTCTGGCTGGGCGGCGCGGGTGATTTTGTCCTGGGTGTGAGGCGCTGGCCTCCCGCCACGTCTCCTGCAGCCCCGGACGCTGTCAGGCCGGGTTGAGCAGCAATCGAGCCCGCCCATTATATGTCCAAATATTTGAAAACTACAAGTCAAAGTCACAAAGTGTAAGACAGATTGCACCGTATCCTCCTGCTTTGCCAGGGCTCTCCCGTCAGGGCCTGGAAAGTCGGGGAATGAGCCCACCACCACCCACGCCGGGCGGCTGGAGTGCGGCCTGAGGCCTCGCCCAGGCCTGTCCAGGTCCCTGGCCGTCCCAGGTCAGCCTCAAGGACCGACTGGGAGGGGGCCTTGGCCGGGAAAGGGGTTTGAGGTTTTGGACAGGGAATACCAAGTCTAGGTACTAAGTGTGACCTGAGCGCTGGCCCCCTGGTCCCCAGGCTCCTCGCGCATTTGGGGGGGGAGGGCGGGGGCTGTGGCCAGACCCTCTGCACTCAGGCCTCGCTGATTATGGTGGCCTCAGAACCCACTGCTGGGACGGCACTGCCTTGGGAGCCCCTTCCAGCCACCCCCCGCCCCCAGTCTCAGTCCCCAGTCCCCTGGCAGAGCAGAGCAGGAGCTTCTCCGGCACAGGGGGCTGGGGTCTTCCTGGGAGCTAGCAGACCTGCTCCCTGACTGCTGCCCTCCAGACCCTGCAGTTCGAAGCTCCAAGGTGCACCTCAGTCAGGGCCCCTGGGTCCACAGAGCCCCCAGATGGGCCCTCATTCTCCCACTTCTGCTGCTTAAGTGGGACGGGTAGGGGGTAAACCTGCCAGTTACTCTGTCCCCCTCAGAGTAGCCGGTTTCCCCCACTTCTGTGGCTAGTCCTGGTGAAGACGTGACAGGTCAGCTGCAGCTGTGCAGAGACTGCCCAAAGGTGGGGCAGTGGTGACCAGCCAGCCAGGCTCCCAACAGCGCTGGCTATGCGGATACATGGTTCCCAAGGCGATCAGGTGGGGGTGGGCTGACAGGAGGACCGCTCACCCCCTTGGGCCCTGCACGGATCCAGGCAGAAGCTCCCTGAGAACCAGAGTTTGGGGCTCACTAGGGCCCCCAATGCGACGGAGGGAGCCCACTTTTCCCTACTCTTCCATACCCTTCTGTTTCCAAAGACAGCTTAACTATAAATCTAAAGAGAATGGAATGCAGAGGCTAAAACTCCAGGGCACAAAGCAGGTGCTCAGTAAATCTGCATGGAGGGAGGCCCTCCTGGCTCGGCAGCTTGCTCTGGAGTCCTGGCTCTGGGACTCCAGCCGAGAAACTGGAAAATCACCTGCGCTGTTTCCTGGGATGGCAGTGGGAATAAGGAGGCCCATCCTACAGGGTCACCAGGCTCTTCCCTAAGGACTCTGAGACCTCTGCCTGATGCCTCCGCTGGTGCTTCTGCCTGGCCTGGGGTGGGGGGAGGGCCTTCCCAAGCCCCCTCATTGCTCCCTGAGGAGACTGTCCGCACATGTTGACCCCACGAGGCACAAAATAACCCTCTTTCACCAACATGCCATGCGGCAATCCAGAGTGCACACCCCTACCCCCTTGAGCAGCTAGGCAGATGACCTCGGGTGATGAGTATGTTTTCCCTTCCCTGGATTTTAAAATAAACAGGACTCCTCAGCAACTCCTGCTTCCAGAATCAAAAATAAATGTCTCTTGGGCTGAAGATGAGGCCAGAGTGCTGGTAGGGAGCACATACCAGTAGCTTCCAGTGGGGCGGGGGAGACGGGGAGGGGACCAGTGGAGGGCACACACAGGCACACGTGCCCTATGTACATGGCTGCCCAGGGAAGACCCCTAAAGCTGAGGGAGACTTCCTTTGGCCCAGGGCCCTTCCTGAAGGCTGAGGGGGCTCCCACCTGGCTCAGAACACTGGGACCGCCTGCTGATGCCCCTGCACCTGTCAGGGCCAGCTGTCCATGTTGAATCCCGATATTCTCCCAGGAGCCAGACTCCACGGCTATCTTTAGTGCTACCAGCCCAGGAAACCTCCCCAGGGTCCCTGCCAGTGTCTTCTGGCCTTCCTCACATCAGGGGCCTTCTGAGCACAGATCCTACGTGCCTTCCCTTCTCGTTGCAGTGGTCCCCACTCCTGCAGCCCTGCTAGGGTCTCCCCAGGCATCACGGTCAGACCCTGCCCAGCTGAGAGTGCAGCCCTGCCTGGGTCTCCCACATTAGTGACAGGTTGTCCCTCTGGGAGTCCTCCAGGCAGAACCCCAGGAAGCCCCCAAGTCCCCCCAGGCATGTCACGCCTCCCTAGGTTCTGCGCAGTGTCTGTTGTCTCATACTTAGTGGAGACCAACAGTGAGCTGCCCCTGGGATCGCCTCAGGGGTGTCACGTGATGGAAGGTATGTGCCCCAAGGGGCACGACCCCTGCTACAGTGGCACTCACATGTGATGTGGTTCCCAGACGCACCTGCAGACTGGCTGCAGCTGATGCTTCCCTACCAGGTGCAGGCACAGGGGCTCTGAGGGCTTGTTCCCCAGGTATGGAACTGCAGAATCCTGCCTGCCCACTTCATTCGGCCACCAAGCGCCCTCCTCCTGCTCAGCCTACAGACCCCACCCCCGTCCTTTCCCACCCCTGACCTTCACTCCCCTCAACCCAGGACCAGGACATCCAGCCCCCGATTCTGTGGTGACCTTGGTACCTGGCACCATTCACAGGTACCTGTGTGCCCTCCCCAGCTTCTGCCTGCTGGGCCCAGATGTAGGGGGGAAACTTGCCCGAGTAATGGCCCAGGGCCCAGCCCATGTGGATGGCCCTTCATCCCAGAAATGCTATCCCCACTGTGTTCCAGGCAAGGAGTTCCCTGCCATGGGGACGGGGCCCTGGGACTTATCTGCCACCGAGGCAGATAGGTGAGGGTGCACACAACATGCTCGAGGAGTGCATGGTGACCAGCCCCCAAGGCCACTCACAGTAACTTTGTGCAAATCTGGGAAAGGTGCTCCTTCCTCTAGTTCCCATAGCTCCCGGGTCTTTGGTCCACATGTAGGTGGCCCTGGAGATGTACAGAAAACAGGAGAACAAAAGCTTCTGGGTGAGGGGCAGTGGGGAGGTGCCTGGAAACCTGGGGGCCCTGCTGGGCAGGGCAGGATGGGCATCTGAGTCACCCGCCAGCTGCCAAAGCTCACTCTGCAGTTGTCCAGTCCCCAGGGTAGCCCTGCGCCTGCCCTTGTAGGGAGCGGCAGCCGGAGCCTGAAGTGTCCTGGGGGACTGGGTAGGAGCTTAAGACAGGCGACCTAGGCAGGGAGGGCACAGACCATCGCATCAGGCAGACCTAGGCATGGTGAGTGTGGCCCGCAGGCCACTGGGGCAGGAGCGAGTGTGAGTGTGTGTGTGTTTATGCACAGTGTGCGATTGTGACTATGTACACTTGCGTCACATGCACAAGCGTGTGGTGTGTGTGTGTGTGTGTGTGTGCACACAAGTTGAGTCTGTTTACATGTGTGAGGGTGTGTGCAGTGGGGAGGAAATCTGTGCTCCGTGGCTGTCTCCATGCAGGTCTGGGGCTGAGAGATGAGGGCCCTGGCCTTCACCCTGGCAGGGTCCCGAGAACAGCCCCACCCACTTGCTGGCCACCTGCACAACCCATCCGCTCCTTGGGTATTCAGGCCCAGCTGGTTCCTCCTGGCTGGATGGCAGGGCAAAGCTCGAGATGAGCTGCAGGTGCTGTGCTGTCAGGGCTCCTCACACCCACACCGGGCGCCTACAGCCATCCCAGCCCAGGGACCCGGGCTTGGGGTTCCCCCGGAGCCCCTGGTGCTATAGTCCCTGCGTCCTCTGCCTTGCCTTCCAAAATGCCAGCCTGGAGGGCCCTCAGCCTTGCTGCTCTCACATTAGGCCAGCAGGAAGACCAAGAAGAAGGAAGGGGGGGGCCTTCGGGCCCAGAGAGCATCATCCAACGTCTTTTCCAACTTTGAGCAGACCCAGATCCAGGAGTTCAAGGAGGTGAGGCTTTGCTCTTGTCCCAGGTCCCCTCCACCCAGAAGCTCCTGACTCAGGGGCCCCCTGGGAATCATAAGGCAGGTGACCCAAAGACCCTATGGGAGCCTCGCTCCAGAGCCAATGAGAGTAGATGCCTGTCCTGACATGGTGTGGCTGGCCTGGCAACCTAGTCACCCCGGCTCCGGTTTCAGGCATTCACACTGATGGATCAGAACCGAGATGGCTTTATTGACAAGGAGGATCTGAAGGACACCTATGCCTCCCTGGGTATGTGCCGTGGCGCAGAACCCCGCCACACCCCACCTCAGAATGTCCTCCAGCCCTGGAGAGCCTTGCTCTACACTTGGGCCCTACAGCCTGACCTGACATCCCACGTCCCATGGGCCATGAGGAGGTGGGCCGGGTCTCCCCTGGGGGACAAATCCCTCTCTGGTTTGGCCAGGGCATCACTAGATGCCCAAGCACAGGCATCATGGATGGGGGGGTTGGGACAAAAGCTCCAGGGAAGGGCCAACCTCCCAGAGGGACACCACTGCCTGGGGAGGCTTGCCCTCCTGCCCCCAGGCATGCTAAGGAAGCCCAGAAACAGACCCAGGAGAGAATGTGGAGCCAACCTATGCTCCTCTGAAGAGCCAAAGACTGGCCCTTTCCCCCTCAACTTCCCATCTGGGGCCATGTTCTCAGCCTGAGGCAGTCCCAGGGGAGGACAGGTAGGTTTCTTTCCTCTGGGCCCCCTTACACCCAGGTAAGATCACAGTCTCCCTGGACCCCATGCGTGGCCTCTTCCTCCTCCTCAGCAGTCCATCTCCCCGGGGCTCAGGTTTTGGGGTTATGCCGACGTGCAGAACCTGTACCCCACCACACTTGGGCCAAGTGTCCCCCCCATCTGCTCACTGCCCTCCTTCTGGTCTCCCCAACTTGATTCTGGGGTCACCTGGAGAATGATGGAGTTGGGAGGCCAGTGGGGACAGCAGACACATCAACAACAAGAACAGCCAGGGTGAGTGTGACATTCCTACCCAGCGTCCCCGGTCTTGTATTGGCAACAGGCAAAACCAACGTCAAGGATGATGAGTTGGATGCCATGCTCAAGGAGGCCTCAGGACCCATCAACTTCACCATGTTCCTGAATATGTTTGGGGCGAAGCTGACGGGTGAGAACCATGGGGTGGGGAGCACCATGGAGCCAGGCTTCTCCCTGGCCAGGGGCAGCCTTCAGGCCAGTCTGCCAAAGCCATCTGTATTTCATTAGCTCCTAACACTTACAAACCCAGGCATTTCACATAAAAATCCAAATTTTCCAATTTGATGAAAAGCCTAGCATTCTGGTACCCACATCTGTGGGCCACACGCCCAGCCTACCTCCCATCTGCCTACTGGTGACAGCCTCTGTCCCTCACTCGCTGAGCACTCGCTCCACCTCTGGGCCTGGGTAGAACTCTAGGGACCCCCAGAACAGTCCCCTCAGGGTGGGTAGAACTCCAGGGACCCCAGAACAGTCCCCTCAGGGTGGGAGCTGCAGAGTCTCCCAGGCGCTCAGGAGCTGGAGGGGGGAAGGCTCTGGGATGGCCCAGAGCAGGACTGGAGCCCTAAAAGCCCCTGGTTCAAGGCCTTTTGTGGGCAGGTACGGATGCCGAAGAGACCATCCTAAATGCCTTCAAGATGCTGGATCCTGAAGGCAAAGGCAGCATCAACAAGGACTAGTGAGTTTGGTCACAAACGCCTGGGTGTCTCCCCTGAGGGGCACCAAGCCCCCCCCCCAACCTGGCATCTCTCCTGAGGGGCGCCAAGCTCCCCCCACCCCGCCCCAGGGTCCAGGTGTTGGGCTGCCTGCCCCAAGGTCCCAAGTCCCTCAGGGTAACTGAGGGCAAAACCAGTCCTACCCACACCAAGGCCGGGGCACCCAGTAACCCAGCTGGTCATGCCACTTGTACGATCACTGGGTCTTCAACCCCCTTTGAGGGCTACATCAGCCAAGCACTGGGAGTGGGCACATTTGGTGTGCCAGGCACTCGCCTCTAATCCCTCCTCAGTCTCCTCCCTGCAGGTGGAGCCCCCCACAAGGGGTAGTGACCCCTGAGTGTCAGGAAGGACTCCCAGTGACCACTCCCCGGTGCCTAGGACTCCCCCTAGAGCCAGGCTTCCAAAAGACACCTGCACCGTGAGTGGGTGGGACTAGAGGGTGAGCGTCCCCCCCCTTGAGGCATCCCACACAGAAGAGCCAAGTCACGCGGCTCCCCTGGGGCCACCCCTCCGGTTCTTCTGGTGATGGTCCCTTTCTTCAGAGCAGCCTAATTTGGCTTCTCCCTCCTTGTCCTCAGCATCAAGCGGCTGTTGATGTCTCAGGCAGACAAGATGACCGCTGAAGAGGTAACGGTCCACTCCGCCCCCGCCCCACCCCCTCCCCCATGACCCTCCGTGCAGCTCCAGTGTGGCCCTCTGGGCTCCAGGGGGGATACTCCCTGGGCCTCCAGAAGCTGCACCATCAGGGTGGGCAGGACACCCAGTGGCTGGGCCCTGGTCCCACCCCTGGCTCCCCACAAGCAAAAACAACACTGGGAGCTGGCTGGAGTGAGTTGCCTGTAATTCAGCGGACCATTTTGCTCCTTCGCCTCCTCCCTGGGCCTGACCCGCCCCCACACCGCCCGGGCTTGCAGGTTGACCAGATGTTCCAGTTTGCCACCATCGATGCTGCAGGCAACCTGGACTACAAGGCACTGAGCTACGTGCTCACCCACGGGGAGGAGAAGGAGGAGTGAGGGGCATGGCCCCATCCCCACCTGGGCTGCAGCCAGTTCAATAAACGTGAACCCACAAACCTGCCTGCCAGTGTCTGCAGAGGGAGAGGAGGATGCGTCACCTGGGGGTGGGACAGTCTACAGGTGGGGAACTTCCGCCTGGGTGGGGGAAGTGTCTGCCTTGGCAGGGAGAGTGTGGGGAGGGTCCACTGTGGGTGGGAGTGTTTGCTTGGAACTAGGAGAGTCTGGAGGGGAAGGGCCTGCTGGGGTGGGAGCATCTGCCTGTGGGGTCCTCCCTCTGCTTCCCCTCCCCACCCAGCCTGTGCCCCCCCCCCCCCCCGCACTGTGCTAGCACTCATCCCAGGGCATTAGGCCACTCAGTGGTCAGCGGAGGTTGAGTAAAGCTACGGGTTAAGAGCCCCCAAACACGGCCTTTCTCACAACTGTCGACTCCAGACTCGGTCATGCTAGGGGCCCCCAGGGCCCCCAATCCCTCCATGTCCCCCTCGGCTCTTGTCTCTCTTGCTAGGTCCACTCCCACACGCTGCTCCAGCACCAGCCACCCTGGGTCTGGCCTGGCCACTGGGGTGTCTGCTTGTCGCACGGCACCAGCAGTTCTTGCCACAGCCACAGGGTCCTCTCTGGGCCACCCTGCCTTGCCCCAAGTCCCCCCGGCACCTGCATGAAGCTGTCACCCTGTGACCAAAGCCTGTCTCTCCTGGCCTCCCCTTCATGTCCCCAGAACCACTTCTTGATGCGCTAACTGCTCTCTTAGCTTCCAGATCTGGTCAGGGACCCTTGTGACATCTCTGCAAGTCCTGAGGGTTCCAGGGGCTCAGGGCTCCCAGGAACAAGAAGGCGGGGCCAGGAGAACAGCTCTAGGGATGAGTGGCCCCAAGCTTCCTAGGGCGCCAGTGCCAGAGGTCGTGTGGATGCCTCAGGGGGTGGCTGCCGGGTGGGGTTCGCGGTCCACGGTCGCAGGGGACATGTCCTCCTGGATGGAGCAGCTCGCACTGGCCTCAGCCTGGAGGCGCCGGTATGGTGTGTGGAAGAAGAGAACCAGGAAGCAGCTGAAGAGGGTGCAGAGGCCAGCCATCAGCAGCATGGACACTGGGGAGACACAACCCAGCTCTGTTCTGAGGCTCGCCCAAGCAGCCAAGCTCCCCACACAGGACCCAGAGTAGCCACACGGCTGGCAGAGCCCCCGCGGACCCCACTGGCCACGACCAGAGAGTGACCTGGAAACAGATCTTGCCCAGCATCCAACGGGCCCTGAGGGCATGTTCACAGACCCAGGTGTGGTGAGATCCAAGGTCAACGGCATGGGGTCCCTGGACGTGGCCATCCTCACCTCTGTCTCTCTCTCTCTTTCCTCTCTTTGCCTCGCTCTCTCTTTCCCTGATCTCATTTTTAAACAACTCACGTGGGCTTAAAAGTTGAGCTTTCATCAGGGCCTCAGGGCTGCTCCCACCATCCTAAGCCTTGGTGGGGAAAGGTCGGCCTTGTTGCCCTAGCCCTGTGCGTGCCCTGCACGTGCCAAGGGGAGCAAAAGATGCCGAGAGGAAGGGGCCCGTGGAAGGGAGTTTCCAGGGCCGGAGGTGGGGGGGCTAGGCCCTGAGGTCCCATGCAGGCCGGGGCACTCACCCTGCCAGTCCAGTGGGCCCTGGCCATCCTGGCAGGTGGAGACAGACGGCTCCGCACGGCGCACGGTCAGGGCAGTCAGCAGGACCATGATGAGCACGCCCTCGGCCTGCCTAGACAGCCACGAGGCCTTCAGCCCTGCCCCAGGCACCGCTCACTGCTCTCAGTGCCGTCGGTCATTCTGAGGGCAGCGTGCTGTTCCGGTCAGTGTGGACCCCAGCAGCCAGCCTAGGACTGCACGCAGCTCAGAACGTGCAGGTGACCCACTGTGTAGCCTGGAGTGGGGTGAGGGGAGGGTCTCTGGGGTCCCAGGGAGGTGGCAGAGGGACCGACACTCACCCCAGCACGAAGATCAGGCCCGCAGCCGCACCCTCACCCACAGGGAAGGAGCACTCAACGGCCAGCTCCATGGCAATGGGTGCCACCGCGAAACCAAAGAGGCCAAGCAGTGAGCAGATGGCAGCCAGCGCGAGGGTCTGTCCCTGCAGCTGAGACACCTAGGGGGCAGTGAGCCACACAGAGGGATGGGACACCCAGACCCAGCCAGGCCCTGTACCAGCACCCTGTCTGAGCTCAGCAGGGGACAGGGTCAGGGGACCGGGGAGCCCATCCCACCCAGGGACCACTCCGGTGGGCAGAAGGTCGAAATTTCTGCTTTGACCCAGTTGCCAGCTGCCCTGCCCCAGAGCACCCCACTCCCACCACTGTAGGGTAGTCTTGGTTCGAGGGGACTCTCACCAGAGCAAAGGCCACACAGACCACGGAGGTCAGACAGAAGCCAATCTTGACAGCTTCGGTGAAGAGCTTGGTCCGGTCCACATACAGGCTGAGAACCAGGGCCCCCAGGACCCCAAACACAATGAAGAGAGCCCCGCAAAGGCCTATAAATTCCTGGAGGGGAAGAGGGGGTGGGGGGCACCCCATCATTGGGGCACAGTGACACCGGGGCCCCAGGAGGAGGCACTCACCTTCAAGACACACACCATCACCAAGAGGCCCATGGCAGGGTGACAGGGAAGGCTCAGCTGTAGGATCAGCTATGAGCGAGGGGTAGCATGTCCTCCACTGGAGGCGCCGCTTTCCTGTGTCGCCATGCCCCGGGAACTCAACAGTTGCTAAAGGCAAGGGCCTGGTTGCTGTAGACACCCTTCAGTGCCCACGGGCCCCTCATGAGCTGGGAACATGCCAGGCCTGAATCCCACACCCAGGGCTGATGCCAGAGGTGGGAGGGCTTGGCCAGAGATGCTATGAGCAGAGCAAGGCCTTTCCAATCTCCAAATATCAGAAGAGGACCCTTCGGCCCTTCAGGGTTGAAGCCATCCTGGGTGGGACGCTGGGAAAGATAGCGGAAAGCACACACAAAATCCCAGGCCACTTGGGCACCGCCACCATCCCCTCCTCAGGGCCACCACTCATCCTCAGACTGTGTTTGGCACCTGACACAACTTTTCACACACGGCATCTCAATACCACCCACAACAGGAGGTTACCCTGTCTAGGTGTGGAAATGCAGCACTGGGGAGGTCCTGGGCCACCTGACAGAGGCAGAGGCAGACGGCCTTCAGGGTGACAGTAATGGCCCCCAAGCCCCACCCTTGAGCAGGAGAAAGGGCCAGGGTGGGGCAGCACTCACGTTGGAGTAGCCCCTCACACAAAGGACCTGCTCCAGGAGGGCCGAGAAGCTGGAGAAGATGCCGATGCCGCCCCCGAAACACACGGCCAGGACGACATAGGCTCTGTTACACGAGAGCTGGGGGAGAAGCGCCGCTCAGCACAGGAGCTCCCGCAGGACATGCAGAGGCTCCGACAGGGCCTGTCCTGACCCCCTTCCCTCCTCAGCTCCTCCCCACCCCGGTGACCCCAGCCCGGGATCCCACGGCACCGACCAGCTTCAGCCCATCCAGGAACTTCTCTGAGGTGGAGTGGATGGCCCTGGCGGAAGGTGGGGTGGGGGGCACGCTCTCCAAGAGGCAGGTGGTGGCCAGCAGGCAGGTGATGCCGGCAGGGATGATATAGATGCCCAGCTGGGGAGAGGGTGCACGTGAGTGTGCGTGCGTGTGCAAGTGTGTCTGCGAGCACACGAGTATGTGTGCGTGCGCAGGCCCTCGCAAACACGTGCACGTGCACACGAGGGCTTCACGTCCGCCGCTCTGGGCACCAGGTGGCACACAGCCCCCCTTGCTAGCCACCCCCACCGGCCATCCCTAGGCAGACAAAGGCAAGCCGGGGGGTCTGCTCGGCTTTGCTTCATCCGGAGCCCTGGCTTTCGAAATGTCACCCAGAGATGACTTCCTCGGTGACAACCTTAGCCCCAGACTCACCCATCCGCCTGCCAACTGAACCTTCCTTCCTGCCTTTGTGAATGACCCCAACACTTACCTGGCTGCACAGCTGGAAGCCCCTCGCCTCTCCCAACCTGGCCTGAGCTCCCCCCCCCCCCGCCCCACCCAACCGAAGTCCCAACGCCCCGCCTGGACACTGCAACGGCGTCTTTGGCTCCCCGAGTCTTTGGGCCAGGTTGAATCACTCTCCCCCTAGACACCCCCGGGGTTTCCATCACATCAATGGCAACCACCTACCACCTGGCTGACCCTTCCCTCCACGGCAGACACGCTGGCCTCTGGCTGCAACCCCTACCCCTCAACCTCACATCCACCTCAGGGCCTTTGTTGGTCCCTCGTCTCCCTCTCCGGCCCGCCCCATAAACACTGCCTCCTGCTCCAGTCAGCCCCTCAGCTCACCAAAGGCCTCTCCCCACCAAGGAAACCAACATCCTGGTCCCTAGAGCTGTGTCTGACGAGGTGCCTAGGACTCGCACATGTGGAGAAATCCTGCGTGCACCGGGGCCACTTGCTGGTGTGGCCACAGGGAGGGGCAGGTGCATACTCACACTGGCTCGTGCACACATTCCACACAAACACTCACGTACACATGTGTGTGCACACGCGAGCCCATCATGCCCACACACACACACCCCACACAAAGGCACACGCGTGTGCCTGTACCTCATGAGCTCCCTCACCATCATGGGGATGTCCTCCTCCTTCTTCACCAGGGCAGGTGACAGCAGGTTGGCCACCAGGATGCCCAGGGGGTTTGCTGGATGGACAGATGGAGACACATGTCAGCTCAGCCGTGGCCAGTCCTGGTCCCCAGCCCACAGGCAGAGCCCTTTGCTCTCTGAGAGCTGGGAGCACAGAGGTGGCAGGACCCTCTCCCTAAGCCGCGGGAGACCATCAGCCTCACCCCCCCGCCACTCACACATGGTGCCAATCATGTTGGCCGTGGCTCGCTGGTGCTCGGGGAACCACAAGGCAGCCAGCTTGGCCGGCGAGAAGATGACCAGGGTCTGGGCCAGGGCACAGAGGCTCTGCCCACCCATGAGGAAGGCAAATGGGTCCTGGATCCCGCCGACCATGAAGGGCAAGGTTCGGAACACACTC